CCATTCTATATTTTGGCAAGGACTGTCTCAAAAGAATCGAATGTCTGGGAAGTTGAGAGAGAAAAAGGGCCAGCACTTGCACTTTTAAACTTTTAATAGCTAAGTCTGTTGCCAGAATCCAGAGTTTTACCGCTCCAGCTGAGTTGTCTCTCTAGGCTGCAGAAAATCACCTCTATTACCTCTTTTGTGTCCCCCAGGAAGTGACCTGCCAATATGTGCCAGTTGCAGCCACAGCATCTACGACGGTCAGTACTTGCAAGCCCTGAACGCCGATTGGCATGCCAGCTGTTTCAGGTAGGGGGTTTTTGGGGGGGATGACTGCGTCCTGCAGGGTCTGGAGCAGGGGTGTTAAACTGGTGGCCCACGGGCTGGATGCGTCATGTACAGGCCATGGCCACCCCAGATCTGCAAAGGCAAAAAACATTGTGATACGTTGCGATACATCACACGACACGATCGAGTTCGTCACCCGAGGTCTAGAGGGAAGGTTTTGCTGCAGAGGTTAACCTCTTTGGCTATGAGTCCAAAGCAAGGCGGGCACGTAGAGATCCACACTAATGTCAGAATTGCTCACCTGGATCATTCTATGACACCTAGAATGTGGTTGTGTAAAGAGAGAAAACGCACCCTAATTGATAAGCGGCATGGGTCCTGGTCAGTTTTTTGAGTAATAGCAGTTCTTCTTTATTTGTCAGCTCTAAGAGTGCCAACTGATTTACAGGGAAGAGGGTGATCTCTCATTTTATTTTATTGGAAATAAGATTGAGCAGACAGATAACAGCTGGGCCAGATCCATCCAGTGAGGCAACCGATCAAAGACGAACCTGATTCCCCAGTAGTCAAACAACTTAACTACTGTTATCACACCCTGAACCAAATAGGCTGGTTCACACAACATGCTAAACCACTAAGCAACCAAGAAGCAGGCGAGCAATTGTCCTGGTGTGCTCCCTATAAATTGGCCTAATATCTGTTAAAACCATTCTAAATCAATGATCACCATCATTTCTTATAGCAGCTTCTAGGTCTTACCATGGTGGGAACAGTGATCAGTTCTCTTGGGTTCATGATTGCTCAGTTATTTAGAATTACAGTCCCAACAATGTTTAATCCAACTGTTCTGACCCAACCCTGTTACCAGCAAGAAAATCTCAAACAAACGCAGCAACTCAAACCTTCTCAGCTTTAATCTACAAATAACTTCTTTGTAGATAAAAGATGACTTGCAGCCAATTAGTCCAACCAGAAAAGCCTTGACGGAATTCTTCAGATAAGCCGGAGTCTTCACACACAATGCTGAGTCCTTAGGACGTTTTTGCTTTCTGCAAAAGCAAAAACCTTTTGAAACCAGGCTTATATTCCCTGGAGGGAGAGGCCATTACGTTGCATCCTTACTCCCGAGTCGCCTGTGCTGCTCCAGCTGTTCTCTTCTACGAATCATCCTGCGCTCACGCACACTTGGCACAGGCTCCTCGGGAACCTCCTCATCACTGCTGTCAGCCCCCACAATCCCTGAAGGCAGCAGTCCACTCCCTGATGGTCCTGGCCCCTCATCAGAGTCATCGCTCTCCTCAGCCATCTGCACCTGCTGCTGGCTAATCACAACACCAACCTTTGATATATTTTAGCAGAAAAAGTGCAATTCTGCCTTTTTATGGGAAATAAGGGAAAGTATATTTATGACATTCTAGGTACCAGCCAATCAATGCTTTGCTGAAGCTGAACTGCATTTCAAACAAGCACAGCTGCTGCTCCAGGCCTTGTGCCTGGGAGAGAGATGCTTTTGTCATGTGAAACACTGGATTTTAAAGCCAGCATGTTAAAGACTGTCCATAGAACATATTCTATGTTCGAAACCTAACAAAATGATCCAGTACTTTTGGCCCTCACTGGTATATCCTGGATTTTTCTTTGTTGGATGCAACTTACGCAAAAGGCACCTCAAATTATGGCATAAATATTAAACTTAAGCTAGGAAGAAGAGATGCCACAGACTAGAAATAACAAGCAGACAGTACTTGGGTTTGTGTTATGCAACTTTGCCAGCCATGCTGGCAGGCTTTTGCATTGCTCACCGCAATAACAGACATCCCATAGGGCCAGCTTGTGGAAGGGTGCCAATCAATTTGAATTAGAAAGTACCCTTGCTTTGAAAATCTCCTTAATCTTGCAAGAAAATAACTTCCATGCACCATTGCTCCATCTGAACAAGGAGGTTAGAGTGCTTCCAGCTTTTGTAAGTGACTGGTGACATCTGCATGACATGTTTAACTGGTTATTTCAAAGTGTTGTGCAAATATTTCTGGATCAGAATCAAGCCCAGAATAAATACCTTTGTATAACCTTGCCTTGTGTTTGGTTCACGTTGTGCGAATGAGGAACAGAGAATTAATTAAGTAGAGCTATAAAATCTGGCTGACCACTAGATGACAGTAAAGGAAGTCTTTTTATTTGTTTGTTGCCTTCCAGTGCTTGACTTCGTGCCAGCATCCCTGTTCTGATAGCCCTAAGCAGAATCTCCCTTTTGACCTTGGGACAGAGAAATTGAAGTTTAAAGCAGCCAGGAAAAAAAAACCAGGCTATTTTTTTTCAAGTTTCCTTACTTTTTCCTCCTAAGGGCAAAGGATTCCCCCCCCCACTCCCTTGTGCCATCCACTATTAGCTTCAGCCCTTATTTATCACTGTGGGAATTTTCTTTTTTGGTAGCTAAAAGAGATGTTGAGAGCTATAGCTGCACAGGAGCCTGGGATGCCAGCCAAGATGGCTGCTTCTTTATTGCATTGTGGAAGTTGCTGTTTCCATTCATCATCTGCCATCGGATCATCAGGTAGATCACTTTCCTGCAAGCAGAAGCAGAAGCAGCAGGCTCAATCTGCTCTTTTCTGAATACGAAACCAGGTGGTTGGTTTTTGTTTTTTTTCCTGGTCGAGTATATTGTGTAAACCCAGCCTATTTGTTCACAGTCAATAACTCGTATGAATGCCCCCTCCAGAAAACTGACCAGGTTAACTGTGTTGGGTGAATGTATAACTGAGTCACACAACAGAATCCCTTTTACTCAGAAGTATATCTTATGTTTTGGTGGAATTGATTTTGCAGATATCCTCTATGAACTATGAACTGAAATGTCTGTAGATCCATTAGAGGAACTGGTTAATTTGAAAGCAGGAGCTATGTTTTAAGTTGTGGAGATCTGAACCAGGAACACTTTTGCTTGCCTGTGGCATGTAAAATTAAATTAGGGAAAAGATATTCTCCATCGCAACCAAGGGGTAGTCCCTTTTAAATTCTGAACCCTTACATTACGTCTCCCTTTAACAAACCTTTCGAAATGGGCATAAGATTTTGGATAATATCAAACAACAGAAGTTTTTTCCCCCCCAAAAGGCTGGTGTGTGAAGTTCATTAGAATCAGTAGACTCCAAATGCAAGTAAACTGTATCACAGGTAGTGGAGATGGGTAGAAGAACCACCAATGAAGAAGGAGACGTTTCTTCGCATCTTCTGCTCTCCTAGCAGAATGCAGTTCCATATAGCAGTGCTGGCTGCTGTATGTAATTGGCAAACTCAAAGCTTTGGAGAAGAGCCTTCATGCTTTAGGAATCCAATATTTAAGAAAGCACCTCTTCAGGAAAGACTAATCTCGACCCTGAAACTATAAGGGGGAAGGCTTCCCTCAGGGATCCAAGGTTGAGAGTGTTACGTTGGGATGCAGGGCATGGCCTTGATTGCTCTGGCTACCTTTGCAGGCCACACCAGGGCTGTCTCTCTCAACTTTTCAGCATGAAAGAAACCTCTGGCTTTTGCCTCTCATGTTCAAAATGTTCAGAACTTCTACAGTTTAACTTTGTCTCTTGTCCCTTCAGTGCTCCGTATGGCTTCATTGACACAATATCTTGACCTGCTTACTCAAGTCACTCATTTAGAGGGTGCACGTAGCCCAGTGAATCATAAAGTCTCATTGCTTGGGTTGCTATAACATATTAGCCCATCATGGTAAAAACTAAGCAAGGCGTTCGATCTCGAACAGATCCAATTAGCTAAGCATGTTTTCTGGACATAACTTAGTGATATGGGATGGTTACCGTGCGTTGTTGCAAATGAAGTTCTCGTTTATTTTAGTCTTCTGTCTTGCCTTTTTATGTGGATTGTAACCTGCCATAAGATCTAGGCTATAAATATTTTCAAAAATTAGCTGTAGTTTCCTTGTTGGGGGGATGTGTGTGTGTGTGTGGCTGTAGACCCGAACTCTTCTACTGTTTCTTGATTCCTGCTCTCTGTTCTTGGTTTTGCATCCCCCACCCAATCACTCCTTCCTCTTTTCACATGGCTGGGGCTGAGCAACTACTAATAGCGATAGCAGCAGCTGGTTAGCACAAAGAGTTGGCTTGCCTGCTAGGCATTAGCTGGAGGACCTCCTGTGTCCTCTGGCTTGCCATTCTTTGCTTGTTCAGCGCTAAGCTGAGTCCCAGAGTCCCAGGCTAATCTATTTGAGGCCTGTCTCCTTTCTGTCATCTGGCTGGAAATAAAACAGCCACTCTCTCACACCCACACTCGGGAGAACGCAGCTCAAGGGAGGATGTGGGGGGGTGTGTGGAGAAGCTGAGCAAGTGCTGTGGATGGATAACATTATGTGTTAATGTGTGCTGGTGATATTCCCCTATCCCAGACCGCTGGTTTGGTGGTTGAAAAGGCACCAAGGAAGCCAACATGGTAGGGCTGTTGATTGATAGGCAAGCATCCTGGGCTGGGTTGGGCAGTGTTCCATGGAGCTCGCATGGATTCAGCCTTGCATCTATCAGTGAGGTTCCAGCAGCCGGATTTTGACTGCTCCGCTGCATTGGAGGGTTGGCGCTCAGAGGAAAAGTTGTACAGAGAAGGCGTGCACGCAAAGGAAGTTCTGTCTCACAGTGTGATTACAAGACAGCTTCCTCCCTCCTGGTAGTTAGATAGCAGAACAGACGCCTGAGTCACAGCAGTGGGTGCTGGATCAAGGGGACAACGCCACTGTATGTCACTCCCCTGCCTCTTTGAAGCAAGTGGACAATTGGAAGAGTTCAAAGGGCGCTGCAGAGTCTGGGCAGAGTCCAGAGCTCCTCTGGAGGCAAGGACCAACATGCCCCTGGTCGCCCTTTAAGTGCCATCAGTGGACAGGTGACAAGAAGGAAACTCGACCAACCATGCTGACCACTGTGCTAAAACGCAATCGCCTCCGGATGGCGAGAGCCAAGTAAGTTGCATTTGGCATTTGTACTTTCTGATAAATCTCTGAGTGGCTGAGTTCTATGAGCCAAAAAGTTTTAGCTGGTTCGGAAATCAGAGTGAATAAAGTAATTTCAGCAGGGTTTTTTTTTTTTCTTTTAAAGTAGGACAAAGCATGTCAGCAAAGAGCTGGGATATGCAGTGGTTTTCAGTTCTGTTCTGATCATTTGTTATGACACTCCCAGTGCTCTGTTAGATGCTTGGCAGATCAAAGAAGTTTTGCAGTTGATGATGAAGTTTTCAGCCCTCAACTGAAGGAAAGCAAAAGTTCACATCTGTGTGCAAGGGAAGGCCATATTTTATTACCCCCATAACGAAGGGAGGGCTGAATCTCTTGCGCCAATGCTGCTTTGTATTATTTGCTTTGCGCTGTGCATAACTTTTTGCTCAAGAAGCACATTAATTAAATCTACAGTTCTCTGCCCCAAGGATTTTGCAAATTATGTTTGACAGTGAGCAAAATGGGAGGGTGGAAAAGATGAAAGGGTGGCAACAGCAAATGACTGCAATGCCCTGCACTTAATTTTAACTTCAGATACAGGCAAGGATAAAAGAGCGAAGAAGAGAGCTTGATAGGAACCATGACTTTATTTGAAATAGGAGCCAGAAGACCCTTGCAAGCACAACATTCTCAGGTTGGCGATCATCTGTTCTCCATATCTTTCACAAAATGCATGAGTTGGTGCAGCCATGGTTTCTGGCATTGCTTATATATATATGGTATTCAGCTTTGTTCGGGTATTTTCCCATGTCTTTATAGTTGTGCTTTTAAAGTTCTAGCGACGTTTCGGCAGAATTTCATCTGTCATCAACAGGCTTGTGTATCGAGTTTGTCTTAGTCATGTGTGTCGATGAAGTGTGTGTGTCGTGTATGTAAGACAGACTCAATACACAAGCCTGATGATGGCAGATGAGATTCTGCCGAAACGTTGCTACAACTTTAAAAGCACAACTATAAAGACGTAGGAAAATACCTGAACAAAGCTGAATACCATACATATAAATAGATCCTCTTGGTTAGATCCTTTTAACCTTAAGGTAAAGGCATCAGACTAGAAACAGGAGACCATGGGTTCTAGTTCTGCCTAAGGCATGAAAGTCTGCTGGATGACTTTAGGTCAGTCACTCTCTGTCAATCCAGTCTGCCTCACAGGGTTGTTGTGAGGAAAATAGGAGGAGAGAGGAGTATTAGCCAGGGTGGCATAGTGGTTAGAATGCAGTACTGCAGGCTACTTCTGTTGACTGCCAGCTGCCTGCAATTTGGCAGATTGAATCTCACCAGGCTCAAGATTGACTCAGCCTTGTATCCTTCCAGGGTGGGTAAAATGAGGACCCAAATTTTGGGGGGCAATAGGCTGACTCTGAAAACCACTTAGAGAGGGCTGTAAAAGCACTGTTGAGCGACAAGACTGTTAAGTCTTATTGCTATTGCTGTTGCTATTAGGTATGTTCAACATCTTGAGTTATTACAGGATATTAAAAAAATCTAAATGCTGTTCTCTGTCTTAATTCTAGTTAAGGCTGCAATAATTATAGCAATAGCACTTAGACTTATATGCCGCTTCATAGTGTTTTACAGCCTTCTCTAAGCGGTTTACAAAGTCTGCCTATTGCCCCCAACAATCTGGGTCCTCATTTTACCTACCTTGGAAGGATAGAAGGCCGAGTCAACCTTGAGCCGGCATATTATTCTTGACCTGACCTTGGATTTTCTTTCCCAAGAGTGGGAAGGGAGGCTGCCACCCAGAGAAGCAGAGCACATGGGTAGAGGAGAGGGCAGAGCCAGCAGCTGGCCTCCAGAGATAGTTGTGTGACAGTATTTGTTGCTGAGGAGCAATGCAGGGAGAGTGTCTTGCCTTCCTTCCCTCTTCTTCAGATTTGGGACTCAGGATCATTCTGTAGAACTGTTGTTATATCCATGATAATTAGGAAAGCAAATGCAACTCCAAAAAGTACATACATTTTTACTGGGAGGAGCTGGGGAGGGGTTGTTGCTTGAGTTGTACTTGTGGCCTTTTCTGGGGCTGTTGGGTAGAAAGAACGCCTTGGTTCAAGAGATAAACCTTCAGTTAGCACAATTTCCCGCAGACCTTTGGGGGGTTTCCTTCATTAGAAATAGAATACTGGGCTAAAGCATTGAATGAAACAGTAAGGATGTGGTTCTGGTTGTTTCCTTGTGGTCTTGCAATTTCCTTCTGTGCTCATGTGAACTAGTCAGGATTGGGTAGTAGTTGTGCCTGGGCTTGACTGCGGCTCTTAGGAAACCAAAATTGGCTAACTGTGTCAGTAATCTATCCCATTGCTGTGTTTTCACGCAGCACACTTAACCATTCAACAACTCAGTGTTCAGAGGTTCTCACAATAAGGGACATGAACAATAAAAAACATAAGCAGATAAAGGAGGCTTATGCAGTACGCTAAGGCTCCTCCTCATAGTAATAAGTAAAATATACAATAAACCTGCAAAATAAACGTAAATATGCAGCCTTCACCCTGAGAGCTCTTGAGGCCATTCCAACTTTTTTTTCCATCCAAGGTCAATGGAAACATTTCAATGGGGGAAAAAATTCCATTGAAGCTCTTCCAATCCTGCCCCCATCCAGTCAGAATTAATCCCTCCATAGCCCCCACCCTCCTGCCAGAACTGATGAAGCTTCTTGGAGGAAAAGCAAAACTTCTTCTTCTTCCTCAAGGGGAAAAAAAAAACCCCAGTCCAGTTGCATTTTGAAAAAGCACCTTTGATACACTAAACCTCTTCGCATGGTATGCAAATGCAAGTTTCTAGTCTTTGTTTAGCCGCTTAAGGGTGTTGTGGAAACACATCCAACATACAGGCTGGATCTTCTCTGTAAGGGAGTTCTCTCTCTTCAAATCCTCCCCCCTCCATGTTTTTTTAATTACTCCACCAGGGTCTGTGCTGTCCTTACTGACAAAGACGGTAGTCCTGCCAAATACTAAGGAAGCAGCGTGCATGCTTGAGGGGATGGCAGCCGTGCAAGGGTTAAACCAGCGAGCTTCTGGATTGGTTAGTCGTCTTCTCTCTAGAGTTTGGGAAGTTCTGCAAGGGTGATGTAATGGGGTGGCCCCCGAGTGATGTCATTGCCACTTGGCATTCCCCTCCTGCTTCCAGAAAGGTGGGTGGGCAGGAAAGGAGGAGGGGAGCGAGTAGCAGACGAAAGCACTCTGCGGATGAGTATCTTTGGAAAGCTTTAGGCTGGGCTAAAATGTTTAGTAATTTAGGAGGAGGTCTTCCACATTTCAGTCTTGTGGTTTCCCTCCACCCCTCTTGCTGACGCAGAGTTAGAGGGGGACATTTTGCTGCTGCTCAAGGAAGCCTCATAAAGAAAGTAGCATTATGGTTGTGAGAGGCTTACTGCGATCCGTCTAAAAGTGCACACTTCCAGGATAGGTTTCGTGCACACCACCTTTTAGTCTGCAGGTTACTTCAGACCCTCTCTAAACCACCCTGTCTAGCCCAGATTTCCAGGCTACTGTAATGGCTATGCTGTAATCATTCCAGGTACAGCTACTTAAATCCTAAAACCTTTTGGTACTTTATCCAAGCCAGGATGCAAGCTGATCCATAGAGTTCCTAGAGCAACGGTCTCGAGCCTTGGCAACTTGGTCAATGTCTGGAATACTCTACCCGACTCTGTAGTTTCTTCCCCAAACCCCAAAAACTTTAACCTTAGACTGTCTACTATTGACCTCACCCCTTTCCTAAGAGGCCTGTAGGGGGCGTGCATAAGCGCACCAACGTGCCTACCGTCCCTGTCCTATTGTTTCTCCTATTCTTTTATTTTTCTTATATGTACCCATTTCATGTATTCACAACTATGTATACATTTATACTTATTATCTTGTAAACAATTGGCAAATCAAATAAATAAATAAATAAATAAACTTTAAAACTTGTGGACTTCCACTCCCAGAATTCCTCAGCCAGCAAAGCGGGAGTTGAAGTCCACAAGTCTTAAGGATGCTAAGGTTGAAGACCCCTGGCCTAGAGTGCTTCCCTTGTATGAAACATCCTAGGGTCCTTCTTAATGGAGCTGTGATCACAGGGAGCAACAATTACACGTACCAGCTAAGCTTCATGTTCTTTTGCCCGCATCAGTCAGTTCCAATTCTTGCAAATCTACTCATCCTTTCATTGTCTCATCTCTATCTCTATCTCTGAAACCCAGCATCTTTGTTTATATTTATACTACACTGTCAATGCAATGCTTCCAGCTTGAACTTGCCCCAAAACAATATTGTAAATTCATTTTGGATTGTAAGAAAAGAATGGAACGATTGAGTCAATGTCTGAATAGCAATATTTTTAGGTCTATATTCTTTACAGGGTCAGAATATACATTTTCACACAATGCAGAATGCTTCTGAGACCAGCTTAGCTGGGAAAATGCACAGCAGTACCTGAGCAAATCACAACTCCCTGGGTGGCTGCTAGATTACCGTCTCCCAGGTTCTGCATTTGGATTGCAGTTAAAACCAGAGTCAATCAGAAGAGAGCTGGAAGGGACCTTGGAGGTCTTCTACTCCAACCCCCTGCTCAAGCAGGAGTCCCTATACCATTTCAGACAAGTGACCATCCAATCTCTTCTTAAAAACCTCTACTGAAGCCAAGCTGTTCCACTGGTTCATTGTCCTCACTGTTACGAAGTTTCTCCTTAATTCCAGGTTGCTTCTCTCCTTGATTAGTTTCCATCCATTGTTTCTTGTTTTTGCCTTCTGGTGCTTTGGAAAATAAGTTGACACCAGGGGTGGGATTCAAATTTTTAACAACCGGTTCTGTGGGCATGGCTTAGGTGGTGGGCATGGCTTGGTGGTCATGTGATTGGGTGGACATGGCTTGGTGGTCATGTTATTGGCTGGGTGTGGCCAACTCAATATCACTCACATCGAGGCATGCATCTCCTCGCCTTGCCTCTCATGCTACAACAGTCATAAGTGTGAAAAATGGTC